TGTGTGTGTGTGTGTGTGTGTGTGTGTGTGTGTGTTACACTGTGTGTGTTTGTGTGTGGGTGACGCTGTGTGGCATTGTGTTTTCCATCCCTTACAGCCTAACACCACGCGGTTGCGGTTGTAATTGCTGCAGGCTCGGAAGATAGAATGGTGCGAATCTGGAGTCTGACATCAGGAAAGATTCTCCATGTGACAAAGGGCTTCTCAGCACCTGTGGGAGCTCTGTCATGGGCCGCATTAAAAGGTTGGTAAGATTTTATTTTTTATTTTTTTTTTAAATATATATATAAAGGGCGACGGCCTTGAGATATCATCATTGAGCTGACCGGCACCTGGCAACTCAACTCAGAATATTTGGTTTAGTACCGTTTTACTCGTCAAGTTTGACTATCTGGGTTCGAACACGCGTGTGTATTTCAACAGTTCAATTTTGTACCCACTGAGCTAGGCTCTTGGGTAAGATTTTTAAATTTTAACTAAAAAGTAAAAACTAGTAAAAAGTTTACAACTTTGTAAAAAGTGCCAGCATGCCTGTCCCGAAATTGCCGAACGTATATTTTTTCTGCACCGGAACGAATCGAAGCGGTCCCCTCCGAATCGAAGCTCTTCTATGTGCAGGGAAGCCACAGACCCACACTTTCTGTGGCCACGCTGGAGGAACGTAGAGACGAGCGCGTATGCCTCATTAATTCTTCAAATCGGTTTTTGCCACTTTGGTCTACTCTTGCATGCTGATCAGTTAGTTCATAGGCCAGGATTATTTTATTATTATTATTATTATTATTATTATTATTATATTATTATTATTTTTCAAAACACACTGGCCCCTTCTGCTCTGGGGCGAGACAGTCCGGTTCACCGCTCTGTTTTTGTGTTTGTTTTTTCTTTTGAAAATTAAATACACATCCTTCTTCGTCTTCTTGCTCTTCCGCTTCTTTTGCGGTGGATGCGGAGCAATTAAGGCTTTCTCAAATTCTCACTCGCTCCTTTGTTTCTGTTTCAACTTTTTAATAAAGTTTTCAACTTTTCATTATGTTTTTTTCTTTTTTCATTATTATTTTTTGATTTTTTTGATTTTTTTCATTATGTTTTTTCCTAGGCTGTTTTCCCGGGCGCCCGGGCACCCAACTTCTGCCCGGGTACACGCCCGGGTGCCCGGCCGGGCATGACCCCCGGGCAGGGTTCCGGGCAGCCCCAGCGCCCAAAAAAAAAAAA